GTGAAGCATGGTGGTGGTAGTGTCATGGCGTGGGCATGTATGGCTGCCAATGGAACTGGTTCTCTTGTATTTATTGATAATGTGACTGCTGACAAAAGCAGGATGAATTCTGAAGTGTTTCAGGCAATATTATCTGCTCATATTCAGCCAAATGCTTCAAAACTCATTGGACGGCGCTTCACAGTGCAGATGGACAATGACCCGAAGCATACTGCAAAAGCAGACAACGAGTTTTTTTAAGGGAAAGAAGTGGAATGTTATGCAATGGCCAAGTCAATCACCTGACCTGAATCCGACTGAGCATGCATTCCACTTGATGAAGACAAAACTGAAGGGAAAATGCCCCAAGAACAAGCAGGAACTGAAGACAGTTGCAGTAGAGGCCTGGCAGAGCATCACCAAGGATGAAACCCAGCATCTGGTGATGTCTATGCGTTCCAGACTTCAGGCTGTAATTGACTGCAAAGGATTTGCAACCATGTATTAAAAAGTGAAAGTTTGATTTATGACTTAATCTGTTCCATTACTTTTGGTCCTTTAAAAAGTGGGAGGCACATATACAAACTGTTGTAATTCCTACACCATTCACCTGATTTGGATGTAAATACCCTCAAATTAAAGCTGAAAGTCTGCAGTTAAAGCACATCTTGTTCATTTCATTTTAAATCCATTGTGGTGGTGTATAGAGCCAAAAAGATTAGAATTGTGTCGATGTCCCAATATTTATGGACCTGACTGTATATGTATATATATATATATATATATGTATATGCACGCACACTTCAGTATTTAAGAGATGATGAATAATAAGGCGAGGAAATGTAAGATCTGAGGGATGCCTGCATGTAAATACAAACATATTCTCAGCAACATGTTGTTGGTTTAAACCCCCTCAGCTCCTTTGTTTCGCTCCTTTTCTTTTAATAATACAGCTTTTATACAGAGGGCATCTATACCCTATTCATCCACATACTAATCTTTCAAGAGCTAATGTCTGCTGAAACGTATATCACAAGGCATTCAGCCCGTATACAAGAGCACTACACAGTAACATGACAGTAGAACAATGTCACCTATTTTTTAATATTTGAAATGAACATCGCTGATGCTCCTTTTATCTTTCTCCCCTCACTCATGATAGTGTTTGTTTCAAAATGCTTTGAAGCATTTCAGCTTTCCAGAAGGTCATTGTGCTTGACTGCTAGAAAACAGTAGCACATGAGTCTCAAGGTAATGTATGTTATCACGTCTAGCTATTGACTTGTAAGTAGCACTTACAGTCCTTGTCCTAGTGAGGTTCAGGCTGATGACAATGGTGACCACAAAAGCTAGATTTTGACAAAAATTTCCTCTTTTTTTTTTTCTCTTGGTTTTCTTTTTTTCTTTGCTGTTCTTTGTTAAAGATTTCTTGGAAACATAAAATGATTTCAAAGTGGTTTCTTCTACCTTATGCCACTTAACTCCAGACTCGATTTTACTTTGTAATCCCCTTTCAGATCTGCTATGTCTGGCCATAAATATTTAAAATGACAGGTACCCTAGGATGGTAGTATATGGCTTTTTGTTTAGATTTTTTTTTCTGTTTTTATTTTAGAAAATTAACACCTTCAGGACAGCAGTACTAGAGAGCACAACCGAATTTGACTGTACTCTGTACAATAGGCATCACTCCAAACATTATAAACATTTTGTAATTATAGCTCCATGTACTATATGTTTGTGCTGTTTTAGCCCATCCGGTTACATGTGTCTAGACACACTGTGGGTTTGATTGATGTGCCTTTCAAACAAACTGAACGTGTATATGGGGCTATGCTGGACATATGATGTGTCAATACAAATATTACAGCCTTGCACAGCCTGGTAAGGACATCGGGAATATTTCACGAATGAAAAAATGATATGATTTTAAAAAACATGTAAAAGCAGAGTTCCACAAAATTGTTCTTCGTTTTGATTGTAAAATCTGTCAGATTTGATGACTTTGCCTTTAGCCAGCATTCTCGTATTTGTCAAAGCTAGCTGACAGATTCTCTACTAAACTGTCTTGTGATTTGTCGGGGTGGAAAGTGATGTCATGTCTCTCTTTTTGGCGTCAGTGGACATTCATCACTGTCTTTGCACATGAGTGACACAGAAGACCATTATTGTTGTATCATTAATCTAGCAAGTTGGTCTCCACACGGATGACCAAGGAATGGAAAATGCACTGGAATCCATCAGTCCTGGAAGAGCATGGAAAGCAGGAGGCTTGGTATGTGGGGCACAAATTGTGTTTAATGACATTTCCAGGCAGTTAAAAGGAACAGTTGTACGCTCACTATTAATTCTTATATACATTTTTCAAGGAAAACGTAGTTATACAGATTACATTTTTCTTGCCCATTCCTATAAACTTGAACAAAGCAAAGTGTGCCTAAAAGGGTTTACTGCCCATCTGTCATGAGTTTGTTTTCTGAGGATGCAATATGCTATATATATTTTATACAGTTTGAAATTATGGATTTATAAACAAGATGAAAAATATTAGAACAAAAGTTCTGGATGGTAATATAAATGCTGCAACAATTATGGCTACATTTCCGAATTGAGCATCAAATGAATATAATGTGTTCAAAGGCAATACCCACAAATGCCCAGAAATTCCCCTCCCTCAGTCAATCCTATTCCCCCATTGCCTGGAAAGCTAACTTGAGCAAGGAGTCTCTTTCCATTTCATGATGTGAAGCCCTGTAAAAACTGGGATAAAGCTAGGGTTTATTGGACATATAAGGTTGCATTTTATTGCCTCTTACGTGCTTTGCCACTTCCTCTGGGGAGTGGGAGAAATCAGGTCAGCGCTACGTACCTGGTGCAATAAACAAATACTGTATACAGTTGCAATATGACGATAAATATAGAACAATATTTGTTACATTGTCCTATTAGATACAATCTTAAACTTTATGTGCCTGGAATGCGCTTTTATTATTTCTACAAAAACTTATGATAGAAAGCCTTGATTTGTGTTGGATGAAGAACCCCATGGAATACGGCCTGTACAGGCATAGGTGAATCCTGCAAACTCTCTATTATGGCTTGGGTATCTACAGAACATGCTGGGCCAGTACTCCAACAACAAAGTGGGCAGGTTGGAATATTTTACATTTTTATTTTCACAGTCAGTAGGACTGGATTGATACAAGAGTAACTATGTGCTGATTGTGATTTGCCAAAAATGAATCTACAGAATAAAGTTGCAAGAGTCAAATAAGTACAAGGACATTTTCCTTCTTATAGACTAATTTATAAGATTGCTGCATAATTTCTTCGTATTATATATGATGTACATATAAAGTATACACCATGTGGCGGCCACCCCGAGAGAAGAGGGGTTTCTGCCGCCAGAGATATCCTTTCCCCCTAGTGCGAGTAATGCCAGAGTATTCCCAAACCGTAATCCAAGCGGTAATAAAGCAGGTATGGCTGTTCCCTACAATCACCAGACAAGACAAGGCTCTGTGTTGAGGGTGAATTTGAACTGTTTAATGGAAGCCACAACTGGTCTTATATGCAGGTCCCCATGCAAGCGGTTTACTCTAACATATTCCAGAGGCATTCCCCATTGGACCTGAGAGGGGACTATGACACACTTTACTTAGTACACACTTTACTTTCATTGGCTCTCAGGTCCAGGACACTCCCACACAAAAATAGATAATCCCTCCTCTGTGCTGGAGAGATAATTGAGTCAGGAACTGTACTAAACTCAATTATCGACAGGCACCCAAAATGCACATTTTAACAACCTCCCAAAAGTACCCCCAAAACACATGGAAACCAAATCGAAAAACCAAATCCCCTGATAGCCCGGATCTGGGGGACGAACATATCCAAAAAAAACCCAGATTGGTTTAGGGGTTCGGGATTTTGACTGACCGTGCACATGGTCCTATGCCCAAAACATTTCCAGGGAATTAGGGCCAACGGTTTGTCTCTCTTTCTGGAGTACAAAAGTACATAAATCACATAAGTTTTTAAAGGGCCCATAGTCTTTAGGCAGGAGGCTGGACTCGTCCAGGAGCGGAAACAGCACATTGTTAGAGATGCAGGTATGTGGCACTCTATCATATTGAGCTGAGCAGCTGAGCAGAGGAGCTGGACAAAGAAGACCTGGGCTGGTGGACTACTGTCTGCTCTCCCTACAAGAGGATTGCGGCCACCAACCCTTAAACAGTTACTAGTTGGTAGCCTACCCACTCCCATCCCCTGCATGATGACAGCCTCCAAAGAACAGGGAAGAGAGTCAGTGTCATTTTTATAGTATGTAAGTATGCCATGTGTGTCTGTCTGCATCTGGGTGTGCTTGTGAGTGTATGTATGCCTGGGTGTATCTCTCTGCCTGCTTGGGTCTGTGTTTACCTCTGCCTGTCTGTATATGTGTGTACCTCTTTCTGTCTGTTTGTGTCCGTTTTTGTGTGTATATTTGTTAGGGATCGACCGATTATCGGTTTTACCGATATAATCCGCCGATATTTGGTATTTTCGACAATATCGGTATCGGCCAATTCAAATACCAATATTGCTGATAATACCTCCTAGGACCGCCAGGCTCATTACAAGCCCGGCGGTCCTGGGGGGCGGGCAGCAAGCGTTTACTCACCTCCCAGCAGCTCCTCCAGCTCCCCAGTGTAAATCTCGCGAGACTTACACTGGGGAGCTGGAGGAGCTGCTGGGAGGTGAGTAAACACTTGCTGCCCTCCCCCCCCACAGCTCAGCCAATGCCACTGGACCACCAGGGACTGCTATATCCCCCCTCCCTGGCCAGGTAACAGGCAGGGAGGGGGGGCAACAAAAATAAATAATAATAATTAAATATAAAAAATAAATAATAATATAATCAAAAATGCCCTCTCACACACACACTCCATTATATACACATACACTACACAAACACACTGTGTATATAATGCAGAGTGTGTGTGTTTGTATAGTGTGTGTATATAATGCAGTGTTTGTGTAGAGTGTTTATATAATGCAGTGTGTTTGTGTAGTGTGTGTGTATATAATGCACACTACACAAACACACTGCATTATATAAACACACTACACAAACACACTGCATTATCTACACACACTATATAAACACACACACTCTGTATTATATACACACACACACACACACACACTACACAAACACACTGTGTATATAATGCAGTGTTTGTGCAGTGTGTTTATATAATGCAGTGTGTTTGTGTAGTGTGTGTATATAATGCAGTGTGTTTGTGTAGTGTGTGTATATAATGCAGTGTTTGTGTAGAGTGTTTATATAATGCAGTGTGTTTGTGTAGTGTGTGTGTATATAATGCAGTGTGTTTATATAATGCACACTACACAAACACACTGCATTATATAAACACACTACACAAACACACTGCATTATCTACACACACTATACAAACACACACACTCTGCATTATATACACACACACACACACACACTACACAAACACACTGTGTATATAATGCAGTGTTTGTGCAGTGTGTTTATATAATGCAGTGTGTTTGTGTAGTGTGTGTATATAATGCAGTGTGTTTGTGTAGTGTGTGTATATAATGCAGTGTGTTTGCGAAGTGTGTTTATATAATGCAGTGTGTGTGTGTGTGTAGTGTGTTTATATAATGCACACTACACAAACACACTGCATTATATACACACACTATACAAACACACACACTGCATTATATAAACACACTACATTCACTATACACACACTACACAAATACACACACACACACACACTCTGCATTCATTATATACACACACACTACACAAACACACACTTTGCATTTAGTATATACAGCATTCACTTAACACACACACTGCATTCACTTTACGCACACTACCCACACACTACACAAACACTCTGCTTTCATTATATACACACTGCATCCACTACACACTAGACAAATACACACTGCATCCACTACACAAAGACACACTGCATCCACAACACACACACTACACAAACACACACTGCATCCACTACACACACACTACACAAACACACACTGCATCCACTACACAAACACACACAGCTCCCCTGCCTAAACACACTGCATAAACTACACGTGGCATGTATATTTTGTGCATTTACCTTTAGAAATAGTTTTTATTTTCCTAAATGGTAAATGTACAGAATATAGGCAAATTATATCGGCTATCAGCCTGCAAGTTCACAGAATATCGGTATCGGCTCTAAAAAAAATCAATATCGGTCGATCCCTAATATTTGTCTATAGCTAACTGTGCCTGTCCGTATTTGTGTGTACCTGTGCCTGTCTGTGTTCTTCTATGTCTGAGTGTGTACTTGTCTGCTCCTGCCTCTGTCTGTGCCTGTATGTTTCAACCGGTGCCTGTGTGCCTATTGGATTGTGCCTGTCTGTGAATGTATATGCCTGTCTGTGTGTATTTTCTGTCTGTGTTTTTGCGCCTGTGTAAGTAACCGTGAGTGCCTTAAGAGTCATGTAAAGTGGTGCGGTTTGAGGAGGGCCAGGGTTGGGTTTTAGGAAGGGGGTCACGAAATGATTTTGGGGCTCAAGCCTCTGTGGTTTTAGTAAGGGGGTCATCAAATGTTTTTTAGCTCAAGACCCTAGTAATACAGGGCTCACACCTTTATCAGATCCAGGGACTAATTGAAGGCCCAAAGTTATCTCCAATACTTGGATCTAGTTCCTGCATCTGGAGATATGCTCTCAAGTACTGCAGACCTAACTACAGAGACTATCACCAAGGGATCTCACTTAACAGTTTTTTTACTTGATATATCTTGCTGCATCTTGCAATAATTATAATATTCTGAACAAAAAAAAAAATAACAAAATTTCTCTAGTCACTTTCTTAGATGTTCTTCTACCATTTTTTTAATATCCTTCCAAAGGATCTAGCGAAAATCTACACACTTTGAGAACCGTATAAATTTTCTGTACCTGTTTAGTTTTACCTGCTAGATACTTTTCACACTGAGCCATATTTGTTGTTTTTTTGTCTATCATGGCGCACTCTGTCTTAATGGATAGTCATTTGACATTCATTTTCAACAATTACTGTATTAAAAATGATGAAACAGCCTATTTTGCTATTTGTCATATATTATTTGGTTTGTACCTTTTGCGATTTCACTCGATAAAAAGTAATTTTCCCACAAGAAATTAGTATGTAGCTTTACATGGTAGCTTTATAGTAATGATAGCTTTATATCAAATCCTCTATGTTTTACTCTTCATTTGTTATTCTTAGTATATCTCATCTGTCATAATTAGCTTTGCTATACCTCCTGTTTATTGTCTTTACCTTTTAATTTAAAGTAACATGTCCAATTTCTGCATGGCTTATTACTACAGAGCCTCCATAAATAGCCTCCCTTTTTTTCCCTTAATAAACATTTACTTCAATACTCTTTATGCACCCCTATGATCCTATTTTTGTTGTCTGTATTTGAAAATGTCTGTATGATTCTGTAGTATTATTTTTGTATCCTTTTATTAAAATATAATTTAAAAAAATGTATATTACATATTTACTAAACTTAGCTTACAGTTTGAAACTAGAGCTGGGTAAAAATGAAATATTAATAGATATTTAGTTCTTTATCTTTGGACGTATGCCAATTTTAAGAGTTTGCCTGTTTTCCAGGACAATTTTGTCAGAACGTTTGTGAGAAATTCAAAATGTAAAAAAAGAAAATTTAATTATATGTTATAAAATAGTTATTTACAACTCCATTTTTGTGTTTTTAATTATTTTGAATTATACAACATAAAACAAATGAATTATATACACACACACACAAATAAATGTAAGAATTAGTGATAACCATATGGATGCTTCCAATACAGAAATGATACCCCAATTATGTGATATTATAAACAGTAGTGAACCTCCTAGCAGATACTAAATTTCAACCCATTGAATGAGACTTAAACCCAATTGTTAGTAACATGGTTTACATTATCACACATAGAAGAAAAAAAACAAACATTACAATTATTATTATTATATTATTTATACAGCGCCATCAGATTTCGTAGCGCTGTACAATGGGTACAATGGCAGGATGAAATGCTCATGCATATAAAAAAATGAGGGCAATACATTTAAGTAAATATTTTTCAGTCATTCTTTTTTTATCAAATAATACACAGTACATCTCAATGTCATAATTTAGATTTATTCAAGGTATGTTCAGATATATACCCAGGAAATGACAAATATGCCAACAAGTAACTGGGACTATATATGTAATAACTTGGTGGTTAAAAAAAAGAATTGAGGCATCTAAGACAGATAATATTACTGCTTGCCTGAAAAAAACAAAAAAGTTTTCTTTTCATACTTGTATATACAAATAACCAAGGTAAAAAAAGGCTGAATTGAAATGCTTGCAGATAATTAATTAAATTTTTTTTCTTACCTGTAAAAGTCCTTGATCAGCCCCTCTTGAAACCGAGAACACAGGTTGTTCAGTAAACGCTCATGCTGACCGTACAGGCAAATGAAATTGGATTCAGGAAAAGGATTCAGCGATAAGCAAGTTATTGTTTCAACCATACTGTACTGATTAATGTGTAGGCGAAAGTAGTCACTGTTCACTGTACTCCCTGTAACAAATTCTTGTCCCTAAGAAAAAAAACAGTAAAAATAAATACTTTTGGTTAAAAAAAAAAAGAATAATTTTTTTTGTTTGTTGTTAATAAATGATCAGAGATGAAAGTGAGCAAAATATATTCATAAATATATATCTATATATCATTTGTTATATATAATGTTTTTTGAAAGTTGGTGAAGTTGTTTTTATTGAGTAAGTGCGCTGAATCTTTAATGCTGTGTGTACACACACACACACACAATATATATATATATTTCTATAATATATATTTTGTAAATGGTCTGTACTTAAATAAAACAGAAGGTGATCACAATAGCTCTTAACACTGCTATTTCTTTTGTAAAAGAAATCACTAGGTGCTAGGTTTAGATAATAATATAGTGTAACCAAAATCCACATTCTCTCGGGGGGCGGGGCCGGGCCGCCAAGCAGCATGGCAGCAGAGTAACATGGCTCCGGGACAGAGTCCCGAAAAATGGCATACAACTCACACACAATCTGCCCCAAAGCCGGAAAGCACACGGTAGTGATACGGGGCACCACCCAAGCTACCTTACCATACCAAACCGCAGCCACAATTGCATCAGGAACACCGAAACAGACGAACCCGGCCTACACACCAGCCTAAGCCTAAACATGGGCAACCGCAGACCAAGAACTGCCACTTAAGTGCTAGACCGGAGGAGCAGACATACAGGTCGCGTGGACCTTGACAGGGATCTACGCGGGCAAGAGCTGCGGCCCCGCTCCGCCCCCCCCCCCCCCAGCTGGGGGGGGTAATCCCGGCCACATGGAGGCCACACGCCCCGGGCTGGACACCACCGCCTGGGGGACACACGGCCCTCCTGTACAGGCACAGGCTGCCTAACCGTGGCCCGCCTGATAACCACACCCGAAATCAAGGGACGTTTAGTACCTACACCACAAGGCGTGCACTGGACCCAACTGCTTATTTCAGGTCAGATTGCTGGCATTACCTTAAGAAGCTGCCCCGTGGATGTGACACCCACAGATAGAGATAGGCACTGGGGGCAATGCACGTGGGCAGGGGGGGGGCCAGGCGGGACGCTGTCCAGATGCTGCGGCCCAGGGATTGTGCCTTGCTGAGAACTAAGCGCCGTCACCTCTGGGTTTTGTGGAGGGCCTGGAGGTGGCTGTCCCAGACACTGTGAGCCCTTGTGGAGTGGAGCGCGGCAGCCCCCGGCGGACCGGTGGCTGAGGGGAGGTCGGCATCTGCCCTGAGAGGCCGGAGAAGGGTGAGACACAAGACGGTCTTCGCCCCATCCGGCTGGGGCTCCGTAGGCGCAGTGCAAGTGCAGGGGATGACTAGCGCACAGACTCTAGGTTGGGGGGTCCTGTGGGCTGGTGGGTTCCCGGGTGCCCGCTGCGCTGTGGATCCCCTGGTCGGAGGCTTGACATGACCAGGGGTGATGCAGCG